TTGAGGGTTTAGGCCAGGACAAGCAACAGGGAATGGAGGGTTCATACCTGCATGACGGCCCTGTGCTCATAGGCCGCCACACATGCTCCGGTCTCGAAGTAGGCGCTCTCCGGCAGGCGCATGTGATTCAGGCGCGTGCGGTCGCGAATGAGAGACAGGCGCCTGCCCATACACATCAGTTCAGCGGTGGCAAAAGGGCAGAAACATGTCAGTAATAGGACAGAACTTATGGTTTGAGTAAATGTGACGAAGAGCAACGAATCCAATCCCCAAAACACTGACCTGTCCATCTGCTTCACACGCCGCTTCTTCATCTTGCGCACGACAGCCACAATGTGGCTCATGATGCCCAGGTCCGCCTGGTGCATTATGTCAGGCATCACCACGAGGTAGGGATTGCCCCACGCGGTCCCTGGGACATCCCACTTCCAGAGCACGCACTGGAAATGGGGATGTGGTGGGGAATGGAGGAGAGATGTACGTGAGAGTGGATAGCTAACCTAAACCACAAGTGGGGTGAGTTCAATGGGGCAGAGCACATCTGGCAATTCATGACGGGGCGGGCGAGAGCATAGACTACTCATGGGCCGGGGAAACAGGTCACTCACCTCAACAGGGTAGGTAGAGTAGGCCTTGCACGGGTCAGCCTAGCTAGTTGTCGTCCCAGCCGCCTCGTTAACGATCCATTGCTGCTGTTCAGGCGTGCGCGGCGTGTTCCGTGCCTTGACAGCACTCAGATGCTCCTGTTGTAGCACGGGGGTGAGGGATGGGATAGAAAAGGTAAGGGTGGTAGCTATGTGGGTTCTATCAGGCGACCCACAAACGAGAATGTATTTGAATGCGTGCAGATGGCATGTGACCTCACCTTTGCAGCATAGCAGATGCTGCACGGCATCCGCGATCCATGCGAGAGTGTGCAACTGATCTTGCCGCTCTCGGGGTAGTCGCACACCCAGGCGTACAGCAGGGGCCGCACGGTTTGCCAATCACCGAAAGGGTCCCTGAGACGGAACCCGCTGCAAGGAACAGGTAGAGGGGCAACAGGAATTCAGGTTACGGCTTTTAGGGAGGAACGACGAGGGGCAAAGGGCCATGTTACATACAGAGAGGGTTTGCATACCATGCAGGTGGTGAGATGATGTCTTAGCAAGATGCAAACCGAGTACGGACCTGGCAATGCCATCAAGAAGCGGCTGCAGCACGGTGATGACGCAACGCTGGAAGAGCATCACCTTCTCCACGGCAGACATTGCAGACGGGGGGATAGGAAGGAGGGCAAGTAGTGTGTGCCCGGCTTTCCCCCATCGCTTGGCCTGGGAGATGTTGGCCAGCGTCATCATGAGCGGCCACGCCTTCTTCCGGCCGTTGATGCTCATGTGCGTCACATCCGAATATAAGATGATCCCCCCCACAACTTCGGACCAACCGAAGTGTTCCTGCAGTGCACGACAAAGCGGCAACGGACACACGGTTTAGGGCTCAAGATGCTCTTGACAGATCAGTGCAGCGATGGAGGCATGAGGAAGGATTGGGTTTGGGGTGGCAACGTGGTCTTTCCTTACCTGAGCATCGTTCCACCACGTTCCTGTTTCAGGCGTGGTATAGCGACGGCTGCCTGCGTCAGGGTCTTCATCAACACGCGCCTTGAGCTTGAAGCCGGGCGCGTTGTTGGGATGTCCAAACATTTCAGCGAATGCCTGGTGTACGGTGGCGAAGGCAGGTGAGAGGAGAGGCATGGTTAGTGGCGGTGAAGGTGGGTGTACGGTTAATACAAGGATAACTACGTACATGCAAACCCTGTGTGCCTCATCATCATTTCACGGCCTTGAATGCAAAGTCGGCTTACCTGGGCTGAGTTCTGAAAGAGCAAGCGCTGTGGTGGATGACCGTCAATCTCGAAGGTCGCCACCGACCATCCGCGATTGAGCCCTGCCAAACGCTCCATCTCGAACCGCTCCAGATCCTTACAGTTCCGGAGCTCCGAGATCACAAGAGGCGCAAGGCCGGGCTCTACGACTAGCTGAAGCAGGCCGTTGATGTCAACCTCGGCCATTCCCATTCCGCCATTCACGCGCCGAACGAAATGCAGCAGCTTCAACGCGAGCGGATTGAGGGGCGTGGCATTGCTCTGTCCGGAGATGATTGTTGGCGGCGCGGCATGACTCCCTTCGGGCCGGCTCTCAGGATGGTCACTCGTGTCAGCCGCAGGAGCTCCTGGTTGTGGTTGATGTTCATCTTCAGGAGGCCCCTCGTTCACGTCGTTGGGAGTTTCGTCAACGTGAGCTTCAGGCACGTGTGGAGGACCGCTCACACTGACGGCGTTGGATGCGTTAGACGCTGTAGGTGAACCGGGAGCGGCTGGAGCGTCCGACAGAATGTCGTGGACGAATAGCAGAGCGTGAAGACCGGCGGTCGGTGCAGATCGCGTCGGCCTTGCCACGGCGGATAGTCCTTGGCAAGGGGTCCGCCGTGACTTATGACCGCCATAAACTTGGGCGTTGGGGAACCATCTGTTGCAGAACTCGCAGACGACGCCTGGTAAAGAGCCCATGTGTTACGGATCCGTTGTAGAGTCGAGAAATCGCCTATGTAGCTACTAGCCGTGATGAAGCTTGTGAACGCATTAAGTACTCCGTTCAAGAAGCCTGTGACAGCTACACGATCATCGCCAATGCGCGCACTGTGGTGGGCGGCTTGTATCACTGCACGACTGGCACTTGACATTGGCGCTAATGTTTATGACTGGCTAACGATGTCGAGCCGCGTGGTCGTTACCAGGCACGATACAGACCGCCCACCTCACGGGCCGTCTTCACTACAAGGCGTGTCGCCCCCGTTTAGAGTGACCACGACGTGAGCAGAGGAGAATGCGGAGGATCTTAAGTCTCACGGTTGTGTGTGTGCGTCGCGAGCACGGTGAGAAGGACGTGCCTATTGAACCAAGAACTTGTGTTTAGGAACCGTGCGTGAGAGTCGAGGGGGATGAGGAAGAGCGGGAAGAGATCCGTTTGGATCTGTGATTGTGTCGCGAATCGATATAGGGGGGAAATCAGAATCACGTAGGTGAGCTCAAGAGGCTTCAAACAAACATGGAAATGCAAATGTACAATTACAACTTAACAAGACACTCAAGTCATTCATAACTAGTAAACATTCATATCCTTAGGACTGATGTTGAAAAACCCATACTTGATAACGATACGGGAAGTACCCAATAACTCCATGCCCTAACGTATGATTGTTGCGTGGAGCGAATACCTATAGCGTGTCTTCTCTCAAGGTGTAGTGTACCTCTACGCACCGTGCTGAATGAATATGCAAGAATGGATGACAATGTCGTACAATAACACAACGGTTTCAATGTCCATGCAATGTTGGATGACAATGCAACACCATACCACAACGGATTCACCATGTCGCGCAACCCGCAGGCCTGAAAGCTGCATCGTCGCACAGTCTAACCATGGCTGTCGATAACGCATCTACGCTTGTGCGTTGGGCCTGTGCTTCATACCACTCCTTCTAAGCACCTTGTTTAATGTCTGTGCAAGAATGGATGCCAATGCAACACCATACCACAACGGATTCACCATGTCGCGCAACCCGCAGGCCTGAACGCTGCATCGTCGCACAGTCTAACCATGGCTGTCGATAACGCATCTACGCTTGTGCGTTGGGCCTGTGCTTCATACCACTCCTTCTAAGCACCTTGTTTAATGTCTGTGCAAGAATGGATGACAATGCAACACCATACCACAACGGATTCACCATGTCGTGCAACCCGCAGGCCTGAACGCTGCATCGTCGCACAGTCTAACCATGGCTGTCGATAACGCATCTACGCTTGTGCGTTGGGCCTGTACTTCATACCACTCCTTCTAAGCACCTTGTTTAATGTCTGTGCAAGAATGGATGACAATCCAACACCATACCACAACGGATTCACGTTTGTTACTATTGATAATCGTGTTTGAATGTCGTCCGCTAGCCCTAAACCATTGTGGCAAAGCCTAAAAGTGCACAGTACATCTGTCACAAGTAATAATTTTGGACGGTCGTTGTGTGTGTGACGTAAGAATCACCGATTAACTTACCCCAACCCCGTGGTAAACCATTTGCAACTTAGAGTTTGATGAAATGCATTGTTGTATGTTTGAATAAAATTTAGTGATTTATGCGTTGACAACCGTGATTGGCCGACGCATCTCAAACGATTCCCCCTCGCAACACAGTCATCAGCCAAGAGGTACTTCAGCCATTGAGCGGCTGAGATCGAGCGGTAGGTGGGTTTATGCTAGGGTGGCTACACGTACACCGTCCAATATAGCCTGATAGGGTTACATTACTCTCTCTAGTCTCGCAACCCACACCAACCACCCTCGTGTCCCACCCACCTGCTTCCGTCACTCCCTGGACCAACACTTTGACGCTGCTCGTTGCCTTGACACACGCCTCTCCAGATCGGCCTTAGCGCGAAGCATAGTGGCTACTATGACAGATTTAGTTGAAGCGGCGGTTTTCGGAAACACATAACAGTGATAGACCGTCGATAATCCCATCGTGGGATTCAGTTGCAGAACCCTTTCGAAACCGGCTCAACCCTTCCGCGCGATTTGCAACTTTGCTCCTCCTACAATTACCATGACACGTGCAACACGTAACCAAGCAATGGAGGAGGAACAGGCCGGCCGCCGCGCGACAAGGAGGACGTCTAAACAGAGTGTGGTGGCGGCGCTAAAAAAACTAATGCGTCCGTCGCTCGTGGCATTGGGCAGAAAAAAGCGGCGGCAAAAAAGGTCGCGCGCGGTCAACAGGAGGCCGGCAAGAAAGCGGAAGACAAGGAGCCTAAACCAACGCCACGCAAGCGTGTTTCTACAGTGAACAAAGATGCGGATGTTGCCTCTGCTGGAACCGAGCCCGGTCCGAGTAAAGACGGCACCACTGGCGGCAACGAAGATCCGGGGCGAGGGAGCGCGAGTCTTGCACTCCCGTCGGCGGAGATGGAGGGATCGGTGGCGGAGGGAAATCACGGAGGCGATCCCCGCGCCGAGCATGCCGCAACCAAGGAGTCCGAGGCGGCGGCAACGCAACACCATCTGACGCTGCTCCAGCCGACCGTGGTCGAAGTTTCTGCAGCCGTGCTGGATAAGGACAAGGTGGGGGAGCACGAGTCGGTGGGGCTGGTCGGTGGCTCTCCACCTTCTGGTGGACGGGGGAGCGTAGGCAGAGGAAGAGCGATGGGGAGGACGATTATGACACCGCCGTGCCCGGGGACCTCATTACGCGGGCGAAGAGGCGGCAGACGACAGGTAGTGCTGACGACGCCGGAGGCGCGGCAGTTGGGACACCGCGAGGCGCCAAGGAAGCTAGTGGCAAGGCGGGCGGTCAAGCATTGCGCCAGAAGGGCCGACCCGCAGCAAGAAAAGCATCCGGCGGAAGGAGAGGCAAGAAAGCAGCGACGGGAACAAAGCCGAAACGGGGCGATGAAGACCCCGGTGATGCGGAGGAGGAGGAGGATGAGGAGGAGGATGCGGAGGGAGAGGAGGATGAAGAGGAAGCGGAGGAGGATGACGCGGATGTTGGGGAGGATGAAAAAGATGAGAATGATGGCGGGGAGGACGAAGAGGAGGAGGAGGAGGAGGAGGAGGAGGAGGAGGAGGAGGCAGAGGAGGAGGAGGAGGAGGAGGAGGAGGAGGAGGAGGAGGAGGAGGAGGCAGAGGAGGAGGAGGAGGAGGAGGAGGAGGAGGAGGAGGAGCAGGGTGACGACGAGGAGGAGGATGTGGAGGAGGAGGAGGAGGAGGAGGCAGCGGAGGAGGAGGAGGAGGAGGAGGAGGAGGAGGAGGATGTGGCGCCAGTGAAGGGACGGGGCGGGCGTGGCAGACGGGTGAGTGGTACAGGGAAGGAGGGGGGCCGGACTCGCCCTTCCCGAAAACGCGGGGCAGTTGACGCTGCGCGCGGCGAAGCATCGGGCAAACCGAAGGTGCGTAAGGTGAAGGTCGAAAGTGAAGGGGTTGGTAAAAAGCAAGGGAGCCAGGGAGCAAAAGGGGATGGAGGAGGAAAGGGTGGCCGCGCCAAAGGGGTTCCAGTGGGTACCAGCAAGAAAGAACCTGCCGGTAAACATCGCAGCGTCCGCCAAAGCACCCCGCGGAAAGGTGGCAACGAGAAGGCGCAGGCTGCCCCAAAACCGAAGGGACAGCAGAAAGGTGAGCATTGTGTCCAATAAAACTGGCGTGACGTGTTGAACCATCTGCTAAACCGTGCCAAAAAACACCCTTTTTTCACATTGTTTCTCCCATGCAGGGAAGGAGAAGGTCGACGAATCTGCCAAGCAAGGTAAACCCTCTTGTCTCAAACCAGTACAACCCTGAACCCGATCTAGATTCAAACCTTTCTGAATATGCATGCATGTCTGGCCCCGCCTTGAAACCGATCGACTCTAAAAAAATTTTCCGGCTCCCTCTACATCTCAGCCCCTCGCGTTACAGGCATTGGGCCGCCCGTAAGCGTGCAACGAATGCATCTAACGAAGGCTGCCGGAAGAGCGAGTGTTACACCGCTCTCCTCCGGAGCACCAAGGTACTACACGCCATGGGCCGGCCCGAGCAAAGTCGCTGCGACGGCACCAGGCGCGCCAAGAGGAGAGGAATCCGAATCCCCTCCACCCGCCCCCGTCACGCAGTCCCCACTCGCCTCACCCTCGTACCAATTTCGGCAACTCCACGCTTCTCCTGTCCGGGGCAGGGCGGTCTCCCCTCTCGCCGATCCTTCGCGCGGGCATCAGGCAGGCAGTTATGCCAATCCCTTCCCTGAGCTCCCCTTTTCCCGCCAGCGTGATAGTGTGAGGGCACACGGGACTGCTGCAGAAGACGTTGATCCCCTTGGCCAGAGGGGGGATTCTTCACACCCTTTTCCTCCGCTCATGGGTGCCCTAGGTGAAAGTGCGGAGCACGAGCAGTTTGTTACACGGGAGGAGTTCCAGGCGCTGCGGTCTGAGATGTACGCCATGTTTGCACAGCTCGGCCTGCGTCGTGGAGTACCTGCCAGCTATGCCGGCGGGTCGGCAGCCCTGCCTATGGCTGGTACCCCGCCGCCGATGAGCGCCGTGGACAAGGCACGAGTGCTAGTGTTGCAGGAGACAAACCCATTCCCGGTATGTGGCGGGCCACATGGGGAGGGTTGGGGTTGATGTGGCAACAAGGGCGGGGTTGGGGCTGACGTGGCGGTTTCGAAGGGAACACGGGAGCGGCGCGTGACGAGGCGACGCGTATCAGGTGGGTGGGGGGTGACGTGGCATGGGGTGGGAGGGTGTGACGTGGCACGTGGGGCTGGTTGTTGGTGGACGTGGCGGATGCAGGAGGGTGTGACGTGGCACGTGGGGCTGGTTGGTGGACGTGGCGGACAAGGAGGGTGTGACGTGGCACGTGGGGCTGGTTGGTGGACGTGGCGGATGCAGGAGGGTGTGACGTGGCGGAAGGTGAGGGTGGGGGATGACGTGACAGATGCAGGTGGGTGTGACGTGGCGGAAGGTGAGGGTTGGGGATGACGTGGCACCCTAAAAGGGTACACGTGAGCGGCGCATGACGAAGCGAGGCGTCTCAGGTGGGTGGGGGGTGACGTGGCTCTTGGTGGGGGGTGTGACGTGGCAAGTAGGGCGGGTTGGTGGCGGATGCAAAAGGGTGTGACGTGGCAGAATGTGAGGGTTGGGGCTGACGTGGCGGTTTGGAATGGTACACGGGAGCGGCGCGTGACGAGGCGACGCGTGTCAGGTGGGTGGGGGGTGACGTGGCATGGGGTGGGAGGGTGTGACGTGGCACGTGGGCCTGGTTGTTGGTGGACGTGGCGGATGCAGGAGGGTGTGACGTGGCACGTGGGGCTGGTTGGTGGACGTGGCGGACAAGGAGGGTGTGACGTGGCGGAAGGTGAGGGTTGGGGATGACGTGGCGGTTAGAAATGGTACACGTGACCACTGCGCATGACGAAGCGAGGCGTGTCAGGTGGGTGGGGGGTGACGTGGCTTGTGGTAGGGGGGTGTGACGTGGCAAGTGGGCCGGGTTGTTGGTGGACGTGTCGGATGGTGCAGGGTGTGACGTGGCAAGTTCAAACAGTGTTGCTAGTCACCATCCCATGGTCACGCGGCCACCCTCATAACTGCTGGTTTCTCTCTTCCATGTCGTGTTGTATACCTTACACCCCTGCGCAGAACAAAGCCTACTTAGTGTGCTCTCAGCTCATGTTTCTGAACCCGCCGGAGAAAATACAGTACTACCCTGCACCGGAGGAAGTGTTCGAAGCGTTCTCTGTCCACTTGTCTGCAGAAGGGCTCGAGGCAATGAAGCTGCTGTGGTTGCACAATGACAAGTCAACCATGGGAGTCTTCAACCACCAGCTGTCCTCAACAAGGTCAACTATCAACTCCACCCTCAGGCCAGCAGCATACACCGGCATGGGCCTTGCCGATTACAGCCATCTCGTGCATAGCCTGCCCACTGAGCTACACCCAACGACCTGGTTCGACGACGATCAACTCCTAGCCGAGTACAGAGATGGTATGTGCAGTGCAACTCGAAAACACAATATGCCCTACCATATGCCCCTTGGCAGCTACATATCACCGTGCGATGTGGCTCACCCTGACTCTCATCCCCCCATTTGATTTCTCTACAAAACCCTTTCCAACCCATACCCTCCCTGCCAATAAGCAGAACAGTGGGCCCTCAACTGGCACTTTGACAAGGCCACCGGGACACCCTTCAGCAACCCCTTGTTCGCTTATGTGTTCAAGCTCTCCTTCAAGAGGGGCGGGGCAGTGTTCACCAAGTTCAAGAGCCGCATGGTGGCATGGGGCCAGTTTTCGGTAAGGATGTAGATATGTGTTTGTACCCCCATGCCTCATCCCCTTAACCCCTTGCCTGTACTTCAGCTAAAACCCTGGTCGATTAGGCCTTTGCAGTTACGTAGATAGTGACGACTGCATCACCGCTTTCAGTTGCCTCATTTACCCGTAACCTACCCTCCTCATAAACCATCCACCCAACCCTACACCACATTGCAGATCGAATGGCCCCTTCTGTAGGATAAGCGTCGCAAGCGAATCAGTAGCCAGCCGGAGCAGAACAGGCCAGACTACCAGGAGTGGTGCGAAAAGGTCAAACAGATGATCCATTTTGCTGTCGGGGAGCGGAGGATCCCCCACGATCCGGCTATGGGTGCGTTCGTCTTTCCGAACAAGTTCCTCATCGACGACGGCGACCTTGGAGATGTCGTCCTTGCCCACCGGGCGCTTTCAAGGCCCGCCAGTGCGTAGGCTATTTGACCTGGTGCTAAGACTGCTTGTTGCTAGAATGCTGAATAATGGTTCTTGTAAACCGCAATAATAAATGCAATTTTGAAATCCTCAATATCCAAAATGAACAAAAACAGAATTTAGTTTTGAATAATTTGGTCACGAATTTGCAACAAAACGGATTGCGCCCGAATGTCATCCGGAAAAGCTCGCGTGCCAAATTGGAACTTGAACCGAGCCAAACCTTGTCGCGAGATGTGTCTCGGAGCTCCTATCAAATGACTCCAACCGTCGGTCCAAATTGGCTCCGGATTTTTTTACGCGAAGACAATCGAAATCAAAATTCGTCCAAACTTGGCATAGGGTTTTTGTGATGTGGTTCTCCTATCTCTAAGACTCTGTTCACTTACTCCCTGACTCATGCTCACTTCACGTCTCTGAGGTGGTTACCTCCCTGCCTCTCACTTGGTATAATCTCCCTGCTGCTTTTACTGCTTTTGATACTTGGTATCCCCTTGATAAGCCCGCTCGGCTTACTCACATCTACTTATGCCACGCTCTCCATCCCTACTAGTTTGTTATGGCCTGACACTCACGCTTGCACGGATCTGAAGCAATCACATGAGTTTTACAGAACATACAAACAATACAGAGTCAAACACCCGTACCCCCTATATTCGTTTCTGCCTCCTCCCCCTATTGCTATGCCTCTGGATCCCCTTGAAGGTGATGGCCTCCCACCAAAGCGAAGGGTCAGCCTTCCCATCCTCTTGCCACTACCACTTAGCCGCCCTGCTGCTTAACCTCCAGCTCGTGCCTGTAACTCCAGCTGGCTCGGGCGTTCAACCTGCAAGGAAACGAAACATGCACGCTTCACACAAAACAAAAGCTCCTCCCAGCTGTCACCCTTCCCCACTTCACCCATGCGACGGTCTGCTGACGCGGCAGCCCACCTCCGCCCAGCCATCATCCGAACCTTACTCCCAGTCCTCGGTATTCGTGCTCGCAGTTACCTGTACAGATATACAGTATATACACTCTTCTCTCTGCTCAGTAGAACACGCGACAGGGAGATTCGCGCTTGGGACAGCATCCGCGCTAAACGAATTTGAAATCGTTTAGCTTTGCAGTACGTCAGCCAGCGCACATAATTCATTCATTTTTATCACAAATCTTCCTGTAAATCGCTGAATATAGGAAATTGGTGGTATTTTTGTACAAGTCGCGTAATTACGCGCTGAGCAGGAGCAGACACGTGTGGCGCTCCTACGACTTGAAAAACTCTTTGCGAGCCAATCCGCAGTCGCAGCAGCAGCGACGGCGGCGACACCGACAATTGTACATGTGACAATGGTAGCGGCTACAGACAACCTCGAAGTAGGGAAGCCAAGACTAGAAGAGGCGTTTGATCCTAGAGTGAAAAGAAACGACGTCCGTCGATTCGTAGCTGTACTCGATATTTACTTTGAAGCTGTTGGGTGCATGACCCCGACCCACGACACGATCCGCAAGCAACACTATTACAAGGCCCGACACTGGAGTAGATTTACGCAAACAACACAATTGTCCAAGGCGAAGGGACATGGACACATTTTTGGGCAGTGTTGATCGAACGATTCGAACCGATGAATACAGCATATATGGCACGAGAACAGATACACGCGAACATATACAAATAGTTTGGGACTCTAGCACAGTACATGCAGCAGATGGAGGTCTTCTTCATAAGGATTACGGACCTGACCAACGGCAAAAAATTCAGGCCTACACTGCAAGGCTAAAGAACAAAATATGTCGACAAGTCATCACGGTAAATTACAAGAGCTACACGGACATCGTGTGCGCAACAGAATGGTTCAATGTATTGAATAGTGGTCAAGACGGAACACGCGCAACCAGCTGAACACGAACTTTGGCGTGGAGCGATGGCACCACCCACGACTTCCGACCCGATGGATATCGACAAGGTCGATGCGAAGCAGCGGCTAGCAAAAAATGAAATGTGCAAATTTTGCGGCGCAACAGGACATCGTATATAGGTTTGTTGGAAAATGAAGAAAGCACGAGCGGAGTTGCAGGGCAAGAACAGTGCGGCACCCCCGAAGCTAAAAAAACGGCAGTCGCCGGTAGTCACGGATCGGACTGACGATGACGCACGGATCCGGAAAAAGCAAAAGCGAGACAGCGTTGCGTATTTGGAGAGGGCAAAAAAAGAAGAAAATGATGTGCAAATTCTAAACGTCACGAACGGACGATACCAGGGGAAATCGCGGAGACAAAAGGAGAATCCGCAAAACAAGACTCTGCACCTACCAGGAAACTCTAGCCGTACACCCCGACAAGTGTGAAATTGTTTAAGTTGTCCTATAACGATATCATCACTAAGAATAAAATGTCTTGTGGTTTTCAAGCCTTCAAAAAAAGTCAAAGGAGAGTAAGAAATAATTCAGGTACCTGAAAAGTTGGGAACCCATCTCCGGAGCGTTGAAAAGGGTCGAGCTTTCTGAGGAGTAAATATTCTCTCCCAGTAGCACCCTGTTGAGGCTCCCCA